CCATGCTTTAAAAAAAAAATAGTGCGTGGAGTACCTCCGCGAGGAAGAAGTTAAACTTCGCAACCTGCGACGTTAATTGCAGAAGAATCAGCAGTCGTAGAAGGATCACTAGTTCTATTCAACGACTCTTTTTCCTGCTCCGCTCGCTTCCGTGCTCTGTAATCACGGTAATATTGTGCATTTTTCCCTCGTGGACCTCTTGAACCAGTGGAAGTGCTTGTGGTTGCCTCATCGTCTCGCCCTGGAAAATGTATTTGTATTAATAATGTATGTGAATGCGTCATAATGTAATTTCAAAAGAGAAAACCTAACAATCAATTGATATTCACAAGAGACGTACCTTGACATAACCTTAAATCCGTCGCATTGTCCGTGGGATTGTTTTCACTCATTTTTTACAATTGTTATCCACTAAATTTGAAAATAAAAAATACTACCCTATTAAATTATATGTGTATCAAAACAAACTAAAAAAATATTTATAGAAAAACAATACTTTTATTATTTTTATGCTAGTGAGAACCAAAACAATATGGAAATGAATGAGGGAAAACTGGATCTTACCACGTGATTTCCCGGCCAATAAAAATGTAGCGTTAAACGTTTAACGCAACCTTGTTGGAAGTCGCATAAGAAGTATAACTTCAAAAAGAAGATGCTTCTTGAAAAGCAGCGATAATAAGTTTCTACGATAGAGGGGAAAAAGTCCTAGAAAAATCGCGAAAATTTTGTGATGTACGAATCTTAATTCGAGAATAGAAACGAAATGTCTAATAACTATAAAAATTACACATAGATAACGCGCCACTGAGTTAGTTAGTTAATACGCATGATAACAAAAGGAATTAATCCCTCTCATTAATAAAATTAAAATAACGTTTATTTAAGTATTGAAGGTAATAAAGATAATGTAGCGAATTTAAAGATCGAAGAATCATTGTTTATCAGGCGACATATAACCTTACAAAAACGAGTAAACGACGATTGTTAGCGCCATTTACGATAATACATTTCCGCTAACGAAGGAGGGGGAATCTTTTTCTTGTTTTTTCTTTCTATCTTATAAAAACTATATATTGTAAAACAAAATACATTTAAAATAAATCGGTTGAACAGTCTTCTTGAAATAACAATTTTGGAGAAATAATTTTATAAATTAAAAAAGACGATTCGTGACAATTCTTCGCGACAACCACTCACAATTTCTGGAGATTTCTATGAATAGTTCAGTCATTATGGCTAAAAAAAAAAAAGTGTTTCTTCAACAAAAAAAATTATACGCAAAATGCTTTGTCAAAAAAAAATTTGTTATTTAAATTATACCTGAAAACAAACCTACTCTTTTCTGCACCCTTCCCTCTATTTTAAGCGAAATGAGGGTAATTTTAGGGGAAGAAAGAAATTTTTTCTTGCCGAACAAGTGAGGCATTGCTTCTGATATATTCTTGCATGCTAAATTGAATGACACAAAAAAAAGATGAGACTAATAATTTAGTAGTTATAAGAGTTTAATGTACAAAAAATATAATTTTGTACTTGATATTGCTATGTAAACAAGTGAAATATTGTTCAGTATGAATTTTTGTTTTTATTTCGAATCGAGAGAATATACAAGAGTCAATAGAACAAATATTTCAAAATTTTCATTCGTTTGTTTAAAAAGTACTATTTTTGGCATAACTTATGTACACTTTTTACTTCGTCAGCAAAAAGCTATCTGAACATGTTATGTAAATTTTCCATGGGAAATTTCTTATACTGAATGAATGAGATAAAATTCGTTCTAATAGCATTAATAGTTTTGAAGTTATAAGGAGTTCCTTAAAACGTGCAATTCAAAAACAGTACTATTTATGCAGAAAAAAAAAAATCTCTTTTCAGCTTTTAAGATCAAAGCCTTATGATTCATGTTTGGTCTCATTATATTAAAATACAGAAAAATACCACCTTACTTGTCATCATGAAGGAATAGGAATTCTCATCACGATGAGTTGGGTACACCATGAATTTTGCCCCCAATGAATTCTTGCCTTGACGAATCGTATCTATGACGATTTATCCTCGCAATGAATTGTGTCCATGACAAATTGTCACTCCGAAAAATTAATTATACGTGATGAATTGTCCCACGGTGAGCAACACCAAATATTTCAACTTATTTAATTTGATATTACAAATTTGCAATACAAAATTAAAGTCATGCTGTGTAAATTTTGATTAAGCATTTTTACATTTGCGACTATCCCCTACGCCTACATTAAGGATTCTACTAAAATCCATAAACATCAACTATAACAGCTCTTAACATGTTGTCTGGATGTAAGTGACATAAGATTGCTTACGGAACCACACAACAGGTGGAAAATTGGTATGGGATACGGGAAAAAGTGATATACAAAGTAATAAAACATCCATCGATTTAAGTTCCAATAGATAGACATTTATTCGACTAATCTACGGGGACCATATTTCGGCTATCCTCTATTGTTTGGGGGTCAGAAATCCGAATACGGCGGGAAAATAGCAGCATTTATTCAGAGAAAGGACGTTTTTGCGTTCGATTTTCATAACTTAGAATATCGCCTGCAGTAATTAACTAGCATATTTGAGGTCACCTCCTCGAACCATTATGAACAAATCATAGAACGTGAAGATCTGATCATTAGAGCAAAACTTATTCAGAGTGGTCCATTTTTTATTTTACGCACCTCATGTAAAAAAAAAAAAAAAAAAAATAAATTTTAAAAACATGAAGATTTGTATGAAATATAGGACTTCTGCCCCTGCTCTGTATAACAAAACCAGGTAAGAATGCAGAAACTAAAAAATAGAATATTTTTTGCAAAATAAAAATAAAACTTAAAAAAAGGTTGGCATAAAGTTTTAATAATTCTATTATTACTCATATGCATTAAGAAATCGTTAAAATATCAGAAATGCCATTTGTCAATTTCAGTCCAACGGTCATACTCTATTAATAGGTGAGAAGGCCCCATTTATAAATTCTAAGCAAAACCATTAAATGTCTCAGCCTTCAAGAGATTTTGTATACTGTCTTTAGTCTATTGTGACATCCTAATCTATAGACTTCTCAATTTTGTTAAAAATATAGTAGTTTAATTTAAAATACAACATTTAACTAAACAGAATTTTCTCGCCAACCCTAACTATTAGATAGGCGAGTAGAAATTTCACACCCTGGTTTAAAGTATAAAATTCAAATGAAAGGAACAAATATCAATCCACACCGATATCCAGATTTTTTTTTTGTTTAATGCATTTAAAATAAAGGAATTTTAAGTATAAAAGTGGGTTTTAAATAAAATTAAGGTGAAATAAGAAAACAAAGCGAGCTTAAGAACTGGGTAAGAAGTGGCTCTGAGTCCACAAATTTTGAAGGAAAAAATTGTTTAATAGTAATCAGAAAAAAATTAGATACAAAAAATACTTATTAATTTCAAATTAATAACATCTGTACTTTTTTGTATTAATTTAAAATTTAATGCAATAAAGTACAGTTGCTAAAAACATTAAATTGGCACCTTCTCTATTTCAATGATATGACAAAATAACAATATATTTCATTTAGTTGTTTGGGATGCTTAAAAACTATTTTTTTAGCACAGGAAGCCAGCATTCATCACATAATCAACAGATTTTACTGTTTTGAGACTGAATTAGTTGAAATTTTATCAGCTGTTAAAAACATTAACTGGTACAAATTGTTCTACTTAAAACGCATTAAATTAAGATAAGTCAAACATGTATAAAACAGACTTCATGGTGTCACAAGCACTCAAAAAACCTAAAAAATAAATCATCGAAAAAAAGGCAGTGAAGTAAAAATATTTGAAGTCCATTTCATAATGTAAAACTGAGTACGAAAATTAAATTCAGTTAAATATGATTTTAAAAATTAATATGTAAAAATTAGTTTGAAGATAATTGGGAAAAAACTATATTTAATTATTCGGAATCTTCAGTTTAAAACTTTTCTAAATTCCAATAATTCTCCTATCATATTGTGATATATAATCATGAGCACATAAAATTTTAAAAATTGTCTCAAAATTAAATTTAACAAAACTGATGAAAAACTTCAACAGTTTTGTTAATTTTAATTTAAAACACAATTTACCCTCTAAGAAACTACTGTAAATTGAAACAATAAATAAGATAGTGCCATCATAAAAATACAAATTTATAAAAATATAAATCTGTTTTGAAATCTACATAATTTTTAAAACAAACACATTAATAGTTTATGGGTCAGTTTTGAATAACAATCTTAAAGGGATTCATTTTTTTCTGATGTTTTTTTTTCAGAATTCTTTTTTACTATGTTAATTTTTATTTTCTGAAAATTATGTTATACAAAATATTACTCAGAATTAACAGTTAGGTAAACACTGTGTTCAAATTGTTATTTAAATTAAATAAAAAAATTATACCCACGTTCCTGTCTGCTGGAATGGGTAGAGCTCCTTTAAACCTTGGGGCGGTCAACACACTTGGGTGGAAAAGATTTAATTTATAATCGAAGAAGTGAATAAATTTAAAAATATAACTTCATAAAGATTCATGAATGTGATTCTAGAAACGTCGGAATGGCATTTAAATGAGGAGCTTCTTGAAAAATCAGGATTTTTTAAAACATTTACTTTAATCATATTATCAGTTGCAACCTTATTTTGCGGATTTCTTTTGATGCTTTTAAATGATCTCAAATTATGTTACCACACACTATTTTTCCCCAGCCTACAATAGAATCATGCAACACTATTACAAAATAATGTAAACAAAATGCACAATACTCATAGTTATTATTATTATTTTTTTTACATCTATGTTATGGTTTAGCTTCTTTAATTTTATGATTTATATAAACATTTTACTAAAAGAGAGATTTAGCATTAAAGTGAGGAAGTAGCAGTGAATCTTCATCAATGTCAGATGCCATATTTGAAAATAAATTAAAATTAATGCCATAAAAAAGGAGGTAACTTTTAAAAGCAATTTTATTGTTTTAAAGTTAATGGTTACAGTAAGTAATATCAAATACCAGTTCACAGTTGAAGATGTACAAGTAAAAAAAATTTTCAAAACGAACAGTTTTCACAGATTAAAAAACACAACATTATACTTTTAAAAATTTGATATTAAATTTATGACAAAAATAATGGATTAAGCACCAATGGTGATGAATATCTCAGATCAAAATAAATAGCTGAGAGGTAAAACACTCTAAATATTGCAACTTTTTGAATATAAAAAAAAAGAATAATTTCAGAAAAGCACAAATTTCTGCACTGTTGTTCAATTGATAACATATTGAAAGTGATTCACTTTGTGAAGCTTTTATTTCAAATGCACATCGGTGATTGCATCTTTCTTTTTTTAAAAAAACATTTTTTGAGAACATAAAAGCAGAAAAACAGCATTATTTTAAAGAAAGAAATTCTTGGAATGAGACAATTTAGATGATTGATAATTTTTTAAGCTAGCTTAACCGTACCCATAAGTTTGTGCATATCACAGAAGTCAACCTTATTATATACATAATATTCACAAATGATGAAAACAGCTGTTCTCTGCTTTTAGAATATTAAAATGTTATTTAGCATTGCCATCTATGATATCAATTAGAAATTCATATTATTAAAACTCACTAAGATGATGTAACAAAGTTGAAAAACATGGAATGTGAAGACATTTAAACCATTCACGAGGACATTTAATAGAACATTAGTGAGTCATGATACATTCTTTTAGCACAAAGTTAACACACACAATGAGAATGAAATAAAAACATAGCTTCTCGCAAAGCTATTTACCAATGAATTCACTACTTACAAGAATCACACAATTTTAAATAACAAATAATTTTCTTTTTAAGTATCATTTCTAAAATCACCTACAAAGCATAAACTGTAAATTTCCCTGCCTTTATCAACACCTAACAGAAATATACTGGGCTATTTTCGCACCTTTTTAATGATTTTGGGATAAATTATATAAATTCCAAATATGAAATTAATAAAAATTTAAAAAAATGAAACATATTTCAGTGTTAAGTAAAAAGGAACTTTCCGTCCCTACAATGTAATAAATATTTTAAAAAAATGGAATATGATAATTTCACAAAAACAAGCACAGTATTCTATACATAAAATGGAAATGCTAAAAATTGTTCAAAAATAAAAAAAACCTTACAACCTTAAAGATTTAAAAAAAACAAAAGAAACATTTTAGTAAGTTCACCCACCACAAATTAAACATTAATAATGAAAGTGTGGGAGAAAAAGAATATCATGGTGAATATTCTGGCAATTTATTAAGCTCCTTCTGGTCTTCTTCTGCTTCATCACGGGCTATGAGAAGAGTGTGTCCATAGCCGCAAGCAACAGCTTGAATGTGCAATCCATTAAGAGGTTTAACTTCCTGAGGAGTAGTAGATGATTTAGGCCTGGATTCACCATAACCCTAAGGAAAATAATAGAATCATTTTAGAGATAATTAGACGTTATAAAAAATTAGAATAATATGCCTGTAATACTAACGAATCGATAGCTAACTTTGTTAAGTTTGAAAGCAATTTTGTTAGATTAATCGTAAAATTAGTCACCTTTTTAACTGAATGTTTCTATTTTTAAGCTGAAACTTTATTTCCTTACAGCTGTTTCTAGAAATAGTTGACTAAGAGGAAAACACAAACTAAGCATAAAAATTTTTTAAATTCTTTAAAGCCGCTCAATGTAAATAGTTCATTAAGAAAAAATTTACAGGGTGCATAGCCAAATTATTTAACAAAAAATAAGCACCTTTTAAGCACTTGTCAAGCACTCAAAAAATATTTTTAAGCACTTTAAAAAAATATCATAACTAGGCAGGGTTGGAAAGTTTTTAAAAATGAACAATTTTATCTTGTCTTAAACGTCATGTCGTCGGCATTGTTTTTGACCAATTGTCAAAAATCAGGAAATTTTGAATCATGAAAAAAAGAGTGGCATTTTAATACTCTACGGACTGACAATACGCCGAAATAGATTGGGGTTGAATTAATCGTAAAAACGTTGAATGTGAACTGCCTTTTTGCGTAGTTCAAAACGAAAATCAACATATTAAAAGAAAAATCTCATTTTGAAAAAGGAAAAATTAAGCACTCTCTAAAAACACCCAATGAAAAAAGCACCTTTAAAGGATTTTAAAAAACGAAAATAAGAACCTTTAAGCACTTTTTAAAAACTCTATGCACCCTGATTTATAGATCTGCAAACTCTTTTATATTGCAAATGGATTTTTAAGTAAAGATAAATATGCAAATAAAAATATTTAGGCAATCTATGATTGGCTAATTGTTTATCGGTAAATGGGGAGAAAGGTTAGAGGTTACAAAACAATAAAAATAAGGAAACTTAAGTGAAAACTTCAGATGATTTGAAAACAGTCAGTCAAAATTATTTTTGATAATTTTAGATTTTTCTCCTCTCCCTCCATGGTGCGGTGACTTATGTTCTGGTAATTAAGTTTTCAGTACTACAATGCTGCCTGCACTTCTAAAATTCAAGATCCTTAATAATTTTACTTGCAATGCAAAGATAGTGCCTTAACCTGTGTTATAGCATCACCTGTTGGAGAAATTTCATAATTTTTTCTTGCTGGAATCTTCTGTTCCATGATTTAAATAAAAAAAACTTGGAAGTTTTATGCAGATCTGTTCAATAGCCTTTAAGTACCGTCAGTTTAATCTTAACTATTTCGAATCGTAATTAAACAATTAGCCTCACTTAACTGTAATGTTAGACTTACTAATTCGCCATAAGTGGGACTTGCACCCCATGATATAACACTCTCATCAGCAACACATACAACTGAAGTGTTTGAACAACCAACATCACGCACTGACCATCCCACAAGATCTGGAACTGGTTTGGGATACATGGTTGCCTCTCCAGATCTTCGGTTTTGGCCCCAGAAATACAAAACATCTGGAAAATGATTGAGCATTAATGAATTTTTAACGACAGATTAAGATAATTAATAAGTAAAACATGACCAATAATTATTTAATTGATTACAAAATATTAAAATTTTAGCCGAAATCCCTCATTCATTCAAACATACCACATTTCAATTGTTTGAATTAAGTGATAAGTACCAACTACACTATTTTTTTAAACTAGTTTTTAAAATGGCTATTTGTTTATGAAATGTTAAAGTAGAAATATAGTTAAGCTGTATTGAATAATTGTTTAGTTATACGGAAAATTTGGAAATTCAGACACCCGGGATAGGGATGGCCCCCATCATTTCTGATCATTGGTGCTTGCTCTACTGTATCTATAGCAATCTATGAATTTTAATTTTTTTTTTTAAATTTAAAAAATGCCTGATATAAATTTTTTTTGGCAGTGCGTAATTTTTCAACATTCACGAAAAAATAACAACAAACCAGAAAATAACGAAAAAAGATAATCATAAGGGGAAAATGGAAAATTGTGACTCCAAAGAAAAACTCAAACTAGCTTTATCATTTGTTAGTCAATTTTACTTTCCAGGTCCAAAATTTTACATGAGGTCAAGTTTATACATATATTTTCAGACATTCTCATTGAAGAAAAATCAATTACATAATTTAAAAATAATTAATACTGGCAATGAAATAATTAAAAATGATACAAAAACATAAATGACTACATAACCACATCATATTTAAAATATGATGTTTAATTTTCAAAATAACATGGGGAACTGATAATTTTCAATCTCCCAAAATACTGAAAACAGTCCCTCAGGGCTGCCACTCGGGTAAGATTCCAAAAATAGTCACTTTAGTTGGTTCAGGTATGAAAAATTGTCTCCAAAATAGTTGCCAAAGACATAGAATAGTACATACTTTTACAATATTTACACTTTACAAGGTTGGCAAGAATGAAATAAAATAATAAATAATTCAGGAATTCGCAGAAAAGTGCCAGCTCTGTAGTTTAATTCATTTTTATAATAAAAGGATGGGTTAGAGGTATGACCATAGTGTAACATTTAGAATAGTAGAACTTATTTTCAACTATGCAGAATAAAATATACATGAATATTGTATGAACAGTAAAATGTGTCATTTTAATAAACTTTCAATTAAATATTGCTAGGAACTAAAAAAAAATTTGATAGGAATTAATCATCGTTATAAAATTGCAATCTCATTAAAATTCAATTACGATCATAGAACAGATCTAACACATTTCTTAAATAAGACAGTTATGAGAATAAACAGTCAAAATTACCTAAAATAAAATTACAAAATTAAAGAAGGTAAAACTAGAAAGATATTTAACATGTATGTTTCACTTGATGAGTACAATTTTATATGTAATCATTAAAATAAAAAAGTTTTAAATACCACTATTACTGAAAACATAATTTATTATTTCTAAAAAAAATCTCATTAAAGACGGGCCTCATTAAAGACGGGCTAAAAACACTCATGAGCTCAACATTGTAATTACGAGGTCAGAAAAAAAATCGGGTGTAAATTAAACTGCACTTTTAATGTTTAAGTAAATTCTACACCAGGGGTAGCCAAGCTCCTTGATAGTCAAGCCATTTTTCAAAATGTGAAATTTTTCGCGGGCTGAGATTAAATACGTATTTAAAAGGTATGCAAAAAAGGTATTAAAAAGTTTTTTTTTTACATAAATTATATTTATTGAAAACATGTAAGTAAAAGTACAAAATATGTGCACTGAATTTAAATATTAAAAATTAAACACATTTATTTTACTTCTCTTTAATTCTTTAAAATTTGGTGAATAATTGGTGACATTACTTCTCAGTAATTCCTTGAGATGCTGGTTAGTTAATACTGATCGGTGATTGGATTTCACGAATTTTAAAGTGGAATAAAATTATTCACATAAGTACATTATGTTCTGAATATTGAAATAATTCGACAAACAGCCTTTTTTTTTTTTCATTCAGGATACTTCGATTCTGGCACAAATTTCCAAAATTCAGTAATTGACGTCGACTTATATTTTAATTGTAAAGTTTGATCTTCTTGCATCTCTATTAATTCTAATTCTCCAGATGCTTTTTGTGTCATAATTAAATTGGAAATGGAAAACTCACCTTGAATTGAACAACATTGCACTTAGTTTTTCATATTTGTTCTCAGTAATTTAAAAGACACATACGGAACGACAATACTTTTTTAAAAAATATAATAGCACAAAAATGAAAAGGGAACTCGGGTACATTTATTGAGAGCCACAAATAATCCTTCAAAGAGCTGCATGTGACTCGCGAGTAGCAGGTTGGCCACCCCTGTTCTATACATTTTAGATTTGCAACTGTTTTGAAACAATCTTCAACAGTACTGTAACAATCTACAGCAACTACTTTCTTGCAATGGTTCACAGCTGTATTTCACTTCAGTGGCAATAAATATTTCATTCTAATTACATTGGTCAATTGAAGTGAAGAAAAAGATTGCCTTTTTAGCTGCCAAACACAGCCCTATTCGGGTTGTTAAAAAAGCAGTTATCTTAGATAATCAAATGCAAGAGCATCTAGGAGAACTACTTTTTTGTAAGATTAAGCAAGATTCTATATTACATTCACAAAATATTTGCAATTGCATGATTCATTTTAGTAGATAAAATAATGAATGAAAAAATAGATAAATTACCAAATTCATTCACAGCCATACTGTAAGTACCACCAGCAAAAGCTTTTTTCACACCTCGATTGGGACCATCAAACGATTTTATAAGTCTCGGCACCATCTCATCTTTTTGTTCAGCGTGACCGAGTCTGCCATACCCACCAAATCCCCATGAAAAGCATCGCTTTTTAGAATCAATTGCCACCTACAATAAAATTATTCATTCAAGAAAGAAAAGAAAAATATTTGTAAAGATAGCTAAAATTCTATATAAAGAAAATATAATTACACTATGATTAATTCCACATGCCACATCAATAATATGAACATCATCAACAAGAGTAACATGTCCTTCGCGTGTCTTTTCAATGAATGCTATTATGCGTCTAGGCACAACTTCACATCTAAAGGATAACTTGTTACTGGTTACAAAATATTTTCCATCAGAATTATGTCCTAAAATTAATACAACATTAATAAGCTGTAGGTATAGTGAAAACAAAGCATAGAATCTTGATATCAAAATAAACTTCAACAAATTTTGTGGAGCTGAATAAGAATAAATTAGATATCGTGAGGCCCCTCAAATAGTACCTAAGTTAATTAGTCTACAAAAAAATATTTATACTGCTCATAATAGAAATATCACAGGCACTATGTTCTTCTGGAACAATGAATGGCTATACATTTTCAAATTATATTTTTTCATTAGATTAGCATTAAACATTTTTGTTAATGTAAGGAAAATTTAATCGATATTTTGAAAAGTAATAAAAAATCTATTTTCATTACTCCAGGTTTGAAAGTAGACAAAAAAAAAAAAAAAAAAAAAAAAAAAAAAAAAAAAAAAAAAAAAAAAAAAAAAAAAAANTTTTAAAAAAAGGCAAACTAAAAGAAGTATAATTTACTGCTTAATATTAATTACTCTACCTTAGTATAATAAAAGCAAATTTTTTGACAAAAGAATAGATAATACTATTTTTAATTTCAGAATTATTTTGTTTAAAACAAAGTTCTAAAAGTTTCCAGTATAATTTAATCAATACTAAAAAACTCATTATACCTTCAAATCAATAAATGGAAAAATTTTAAGTACTGTTGCATTAAAAAAATAACCAGTATCAATTACTTAATATTCTTTCTTCCAATATACAATTAAAATTAACAATTAAGTTTAATAATGATTCATTATTCCTCCAGATAATTTTAAAGTGCAGTTTCAATAATCTTGAAATGAAAACACAATGAATTGCTTTAATTTAATGAAAAAGACTCATCAACATTTAAATATTATATGATTACGTTGATTGGAATGAATAGTTTTTAAAATTTGATGAAAAAGACAAATCAATTAAGAAACTATGAAATTCCACACTACAGGATTTGTTACTGCATTTGCTTAATTAAAATAATAAACAAGTATACAACCCAAGAGTTCATCACCCTGAAAATTTGATAATGTAAAATTATTAATTGATTACTTTTCTTTTATATAAGATGACTGAAAAAAAATTTAATGTAATATGACAAAATGCCTTAACCATATACATATAAATTCCCTAAATTTAACACTCAAATCTTGCTATTTTTAAAAGAATAATTTGAATTTTTAAAAAAATGTTTAACCTAAATTATTCGATTCTAGGAAACATGTTTTAAAAAAAAGAAATTTTAAAAAATAACGACTTGTATTCTTACAAAATAGTCCGGAAAAAAAAAAGCTAAAAATCAGGATAAAATATATACTTTATCATGAAAATCAGGACAACTACAAACCCTACATACTTTGGAAAAAATAAATAAATAAAAAAAACTTTTTATTTATTTTAAATATAACTGATAATAAAAGTGTCTATTGCATAGCATATACAGGGTTATTTGTAAAAGTGGATACATTTTATAAATTATCAGTCTGAAATAATTGTGACAGACATCCATTTAAAAAAAAATTTTGAATAAAATTTTCAAAATTTTCTGGATTCCCTATTATATTATGGACTTTTTGCTAAGCAAACATCAAAATAATGGTTACTTAATAAACAAATAACAGAGGAACAATAATTAATGTTCATTTCATACAAAAATGTCTTTTCATAGGTTGAATAACATTTAATTAATTAAAATTATCAAACAAATTTAATATAAAAAAAATAATTTGAGCTTTCTCTTTCATGAATAAATACACATTTTAATTCTTTTTTTGTGAAGAATTAACAGAGCAGAATCAGATAAAAATTACAAAAAAATTTGCCTCAAATTTCAAAAGTAAATCAATCTAAAAAATAAAAGAAAAATCTAAAACAAAGAACAGATTTGAATATATTTTTTAATGAAAACATTTACAATTTGAAGCAACAGAATGCTTGTCTGCTGGTATTCTAATCTAACACCATTCATATTTAAGCTTCATTAATATTCATAGATTATTATTCTCACTAAAGACTGTTTTTCTTTAACTGCTCATGTCTATCGTTTTTCCTTAACTGCTCCTGTCTTTTCAACAAATCTATTAGTTTTCTTATTCAGACAGAATTAATGTTGAGCTATTGAAAAATCAGCAAGAAATAATAAGAAATAATTTTGAAAATAGATCTGTTTACTTTGATTGTTTAAAAAGTGTCCAAATAGATGCTACTAGCAAACAGACATCCAGATGTGGTACTTTGTACTGTACAAACAATGGTAAAACAAAATTATGAGCCAAATCTGTTCCTATATAAAACCGAAATACTACATGTTTTATTAAATAACATATTTAATACATTAATAATGTGATACAAAATTAGTTATAAACTGAAAATACCTAATTGTTGTAAAAACTTTGCTAATTCGAAACATTGAAATGAATTAAATTTTATTAAGTTTAAAAGAAAAATTTTAGAATTTAATGGCCATTTATGGAAATGTTACAGAATTTTTTTTTTTAAGGACACCTAACAGGTAATTTATAGTTTAGTTTGCAATATCAAGGCAAAGTCAGAATGGAATTAAGCTGCAAGGCAAATTTTCAAAAATTATAAAAGTATAATATATATTATAGTTTATTAATACCCAATTGTCCATATTCTGGCAATCCAAAGCTATGCATGCCCCCTTTTGCATCACAGATTACACTAAATTCTGCACCACAAGCTAATTTGGTAATAGATTTCCCTTTAAATGGAACCTAAATAAATAATTTATAATATAAACATAAATTATACAAATAACGGTAATCAATACAGTTCAATTTTAAATTATAAATTACCTTAAGGAGAAAAAAAAAAGCGAAGCTTTTCTGAAAAAAAATCAATGTCTCACAGTTGTACTGGATGGCAGTAATAATTATGAACTTGTAGAATAAAGCTTATAGGACATATGTATATAGTTTGTATAGTAGAAAAATCAAATTAAACTTCACTATAATAACTATTAAAGTGAAAAATTATGAATGAATCTTTGGAATGAATAACTTAAGAATTAAATGTTAGGAAAAGGATCTACAAAATGTTTTTATTTTAAAAAAAAAGGTGTCGAAAGATTTGATTGATCATTTTAAATTGTTAGTTGAGATTTCAAAAATTGTTTTCAATGAAACTGAACAAATTTTTCAAGGCCTTAAAAACTGGAGGAAAAACTCAAATACTTTTTAAGTCTATATGAACCCTGACCACACCAACATTATAGAAGATGCAAAAATACTCACTGTAGGACACTTATAATAATACACATTACACACTTATTATAATATTTAATTAACACAGTAAATATTCCCACAATATTTCAAGTTTCTTTTGCAAATGTATGTTTGTGTTTTTAAAATTAAAAATTATCAATTCACAGAAATTAAAACTTTATAGCATTGAATAACATGTGCAGAGTTTCGAAAAAAATGAAAAAAATCTAATTCAATTATTATTCGTATAATTATAATATTATTGTTCAAGTTCATCTGAATCTATGATATCATTTTATTTTGCATGGAAGCCATAACAAATAGATGCATATATTTTTTTTTTTATATCTCTAAGAAATCACATGTTTAACCTCTTGCTTACAACTGGCGCATATTTAATGCAAACCAGAATAAGTTTGTAGCATGCACTGTAAGCAAAAGGTTAATATTTATTTTAATACTACCTGTGACTTTTTCTTGTCATGCGTTATTTTAGAGAAATTTTATTATGAAAGATCCAAATGTACCTTTGTTGGAATGTTGATAGCATTATTCTGGGATCCCACTCCGCACTGTCCCATTTTGTTGTCACCACATGAATAAACAATACCTCTTTCTGGAATAAAAAAAATTATAATAACTTAATTAACAAAGAAAAAGTATTGTAGATCATAAAGATTTATTGATTAAAAAAATAAAATAATGACAAATTTTCAACATTACTGAAAATTTTAAAAAATTGGATAAAACTCAGATCAGGGTTCATATCAACAGAAGAAACCCAAGGAGTAAAAAATTTTAAAATTTTGTGCAAAAGATAACTAGACAGTTTCTTTTTTATTTTATTAAAAAGCAGTTATTATAAAGGACTTGCAAAAATGTATATTTTGCATAAGATATTTTTTTCTAGCCCTTTTGAAGTAAATTTTGATTCAGTTAAATCAAGAAAAATAAAGTTATCACTTTTACACATAAATACATCTTCCAGTTTCAAATATTTTTTTAAACCTTGTTAAAGTACATAGTACAAGTACAGATGTTAAAGACTAACATAAAAACCTACCAATCTTATATTTTTAAATTTGAATATATAAGAAAATCTATGGCATTTTATACAAAAAAAAAAAAAAAATCCCAGTAAATCATTAAGTTTGCTTGTAGCATGTAAAATTTAAATTATTTGTTGTTATTTTCTAACTCTTGCAATTCAATTTTTTTTTTCTTTAAAAGTTCTTCTCAAAACTATTAGATTTTGACAGCTAAGTCATATCATTTTGTTTCCCTGCTTGGACAGCAAATTCATCAGTAGACTTAGTCAGTTCATCTATGCAAAGCAATAATCTAAGGAGTTTCTACCCTGGATATTATACATTTTAAATCTATAAACCAGTAGTTCCGAACCCATGGGGAGTGGCCCTCAAGTGGGTCACAGACAGCATGGTACTGGACCATGGACACTTGTTTAGAGTCTAGGCCAAGAAAAATCGTGGAGGGGGGGGGGTCTAATGCCACTTTATTCCGAATGTATAATATTTAGATAACAGGTATTATCAATCTGTCATTATATTTTTTTACTCAGAAGTGATAAGGAAATAGTATGTAGAAGCGGTTTTCCTCCTTTTCAGTTGTGTGGACCACCGATTTTGCAAAGAAAATTTAAAGTTTTCTTAACAAAGCTTCCTAGCTTTTACTTAGTTGGAAAAATAAGTTAACTTACGTCAAGTAAGTTTTACTTAAGAAAAAGCGGTCATTCTTGATTAAAAATTTGAGGCTTTAAAGGATTACAATTACTTTATATCTTTTGTGTCTCTATTACAGTTTGGTTCAAGATAAGTCAGTCGATATCAATATTCAAAATAATGAAAACAAAATTTACCTGAAAGGAACAAAGTATGAGATCGTCCACATGCAGCTGATATTATATTGTGATCCTTTAATGTATCAACAAGAGTGGGAGTGTCTCTTCGTTTAGTATCACAATGGCCCAGCTGACCTTTGTCATTTCTTCCTATAAATGAATGTTTATAGAAATGTATAGGAATGTTTAGTTGAGAAATCAGGTATTGTGCTCTACATAAAAACCAGAACAATTCTTCAGTTTCCTTTTGATCTAATGATTAGATTGACACATAATACAATCTAATTTTAAATTATAAGACATCCAAATTTTTCACACATGTTTGAACTGTTTAGCTTAGTTTTTTTTTTAAAAATTAAATTTTAAGGAAATCAGTTGAATAGTTGAGCAGTGGTTGGAAAAACTATATTTTTTTATGGCTAACAACTACTTTACTAAAAATGTAGTACAACAATTACAACTTTTTTCTTTTTAAAAAAAGTAGTGACTACTTAACTACTTTCAAAAGGCAAATTTTTCTGGAGGAATTAATTTATATTTATGCTCAAAATTAAAAATGTTGAAGATTGAAAGAAAAATTTGATAAAAAGTGGTTCAGAGTAATAAATTGGCTTATTTATACAAGAAAAATTATTAGAAATAACAATTCATGTTCATATGAGCTAATTAATAATTCTAAATAATTTCTTAATGCTTTAATTCGCCTTTTCAGTTCAGACAGTGCGCATCTTTGTTTCCTCTGAAAATAAAATTTAAAAAATAATAAGTTGAATACACAAAAATAAAATGTGCTCGAGCACTTCACACAATAGAACTGAGCTCTATCAAAATTTTGAGTGTAGTTGCTGCAGCCAAAATCACAATTGTGGGAATAGTATCATCATCAGTTGTTACAAATTAATTCCTTTCGGCGGAGCCAATCCGTTGCCAATCAAAATAATTTTGTTTAGTTGTTCTGGATACACTCAAGTAAGAAGGAGCACCTCTTGAAAACTCCTGTTGTTTTTTATTTCTCATATTTTGTTGTTTTCGTTTTCAGTCTAATAGTTAAATTTTATTGTTACGTTTTGTTAATAAATATAGAAGCACATACTGATTGTTTATTCATTAACCAGGGTATCTAATGGTAGAAATATATTGCGTAATACGCAGATCCGAAACTTGAAATAAATTTTCTGTCATCAGTCTCTTGCATGTACAGTATATACAGTATCCTTCTAATCCACACCCTATTCTTTTCTTTTAGAATGATTCTCTTTCCTCATGAGGTACTGTTCTAAGCAAAAGAATTTATAATAAAAGAACCAATATATTAATGAAGGGACATTTCTTCCCCTCGCTTTGCATACAACTCTCCTTTTCACTCTACAAACTCTACCCTTGATACTACATGGTCTCATTCTAGGGGATAAAAGAACTACTTTTTATTTTTAATATTTTTGCAAGACTGAAAAATTGTTCCTTATCGATTCTAGTGGAACTGAAAATTAAGGACTTTTAAAAACCTTAAACCAAAATACTTTTAATGGCCCTTATTTTCCAAAATAAAAATTAAGCAGTTACTCAGGGTACCCTGCAATATTAAAAGTATGAGGATTAAATGTACAAAAAAAAAGTATTTAAAAGAACAAGTCTGTCTATATACTTACCCCATGTATATGGTTTACCACCTTCAGTAATAATAACACTGTGTACAGCACAGCTACCAGCATAGACACCGGTAACTTTAATGCCTTGAAGAGAGGCAATTCTGTGAGGTCCCCACAAATTCACGCCACCAGCTCCTTTAGCTAACAAAATAAAATAGTAAAATTTTATATTCTGCCAGCACCTGCTATGATTCAAAAGTTTAAGTTACATTTTGGAGAAAAAGTTTTAACAATTAAGAGGATGGGCACAAGCACTCTGAAGAAAAAAAATGAATTCTCAGTAAAAAATTATTTTATCAAATTTTTCTACTTCATGTAATTCATGACAGGAATTTTGTGATTGAATTCTCAGCTCAATCTTAGTCACATACAGGAGTGAAAAACGCTCTATCAGGCAAACAAGGTTCAGGTGAAATTCAGGCAGCTGTAAGGAAATTTATGGTCTAGTTAACACAAAAAATATAAATTTCTAGCCAAAATTATACCACTTTATAAAATTTCCCCCCATAAAAAACTGTAATAGAAAATTATCCCTGACAAAAGATATATTACAAAAGAGAATATGTGAAAATGGGGTATCTGGAATATAATTGTGCACACAAATAAGTGTAATGTAACGATTGGGAGAGTTGAATGAGTGAAAGTTTCACAAAAAAAAACATAGAAAGTATTAATTTCTAGAATGATTACCCTGTCTTAACTTGCATGACATTCTTTACACCAATATTTTTTAAAGGTGGAGAATTGCCTGGTTATCATCTTAACTTTAAACTGATGCACAAGAGCAAAATCTTTATCTGTGTTTATTTTAAGTTTAATTGAATACCAGGTATCAATTACGATGTTTGTTTTTATGCTGTTAAAGAATTACTTGTATGTGTTTTTTCTATCAATTTACAATGCTTGAATAAATAAAAAAAAATGTGGAAATTTAGTTGCAAGCGAGGTGTGAGACTATCATTTTGTGTTGCATGCAGGACTAACAATTTTAGTTAGAGCCATGTTTTGAATAGAGCCTAGAAATGTTGAATTTGCTGTGTTATGCTTTGTGATATAAATTTTTTGTATGTAAAAAGATTTAATATGACTACAGTATTTTTTCTGTAGCAATGCCTCTAATAAAACAATGATTAAAGATTATAGAGAAATGAAAGAAATATTATTTTTAAGAAAAAATGCACCTTTAAAAGTTTATTTTCTCATAATTTTTGGTTAAAATTATAGAAAAAAGCTTTCAAACTCTATATCAATTAGTAATTTATTTATTTTTTTGAAGAAAAAAAATATGCACAGAATGCCCCTAATAATTTTATAAACTACAAATTTTTCCTTACATTTTAAAAATAAGAGAGAATAACTTTCTGAAATATATTCATAACATACTATGAGAAGGTGATTTAAAAAAAAAATTTGAGGATAAAATTCAGTTATTACATAATATTTCACATTTTGATAAATATTTACAATGTTAAGTCAGTGCTTTTCCAACCTCTAAGTACCCTTTTCAGAGAGGAAGCATCCTGCCCTTTTTAATTCTTAGGAAAAACTCTGAAAGTATGAATGAAATTACAAGTGGTCAATTTATAATGTTCTTAAATCATTTTGACACTAAACCCTTTTTTATCATTGTCAAAAATCATAAATTTTACAGAAGAAAATCATTATAATATACATTNTGGTCCAGTTAACATAAAAAATAAAAATTTCTGGCCAAAAATATACCACTTTACAAAATTTTTCCCCATAAAAAAATTTTAATAGAAAATTATCCCTGCCTAAAGATATATTAAAAAAAAGAATATGTGAAAATGGGGTATCTGGATTGTAATTGTGCATGCAAATGAGCGTAATGTTGAATGAGTGAAAGTTTCAACAAAAAAATTTTTAAAAAAAAAAAAAACATAGAAAAGTATTAATTTCTAGAACGATTGCCCAGTCTTAACTTGCACGATATTCTTTACACCAATATTTTTTAAAAGGTAGAGAATTGCCTGGTTATCATCTTAACTATAAAATGATGCACACGCGCAAAATATTTATCCGTGTTTATTTTAAGTTTAATTGAATATCAGGTATCATTTACAATGTTTGTTTTTATGGTGTTCAAGAAATACTTGTATGTGTTATCAATTTTTTGAGGAAAAAAAAATATGCACAGAATACCCTTAATAATTTTATAAACTACAAATTTTTTCTTACATTTTAAAAATAAGAGAGAATAACTTTCTGAAATATATTCATAACATACTATGAGAAGGTGATTTTAAAAAAAATTTGAGGATAAAATTCAGTTATTACATAATATTTCACATTTTGATAAGTATTTACAATGTTAAGTCAGTGCTTTTCCAACCTCTAAGTACCCTTTTCAGAGAGGAAGCATCCTGCCCTTTTTAATTCTTAGGAAAAACTCTGAAAGTATGAATGAAATTACAAGTGGTCAATTTATAATGTTCTTAAATCATTTTGACACTAAACCCTTTTTTATCATTGTCAAAAATCATAAATTTTACAGAAGAAAATCATTATAATATACATTGAATAAACATTAAAAAAAAAATAAGTAAAATTTGCAATTTATCGAATATAACAAGAAAAAAATATAGGAACTTTAAACAAGTATGATTATTTATCAGAGTGTTTTCACTGTAAAATATTAAGTCTATTAAAATGAAGTTATGAAAGATAAGAGTCAATCTCATTCCTTCTCCACAGATCTGATAAAATAAGTCAGAATTCAACAAATGAAATGAAACAGTTGCTACAATCAAATTTTTAGTTTTTACTCCCAAATCAGTAGCAACTTACTAACATGTTTCATTAGAAATAAATGATTACTAAAAATCTTTGAAAATAATCTACTAGTTGATTATATCTATGGGAATACAATAATTTCATATTAAGTTATGCCAAAGTTACCTAATATCTTTTCCTCATTTTTATTACTCTTAGCAAAGTGTTTTTGGTTCATTCTTAGCTTAATTATGATTGAATCAATTACAAATCACATTGTTCTTCTAATCTTAAAATTTCCTTACTTTATGCTTATCTTTGAAGTAGAGATTTATATAAATTCAAATAGGGACTTGTTATTATTAAAAAAAGGACCCAGAAATGTAAAATTCCACTGTCCGAAAGACATGATGTTTTCCTGAGTCAAATGACATATCAGGAAATTAATTTTATTAACTGTACTAAAAATTGTTAATAACTTAAGAAAAATACTTGAATTGATTAATTGAAAAAAATTAATTGAATAAAACAAACATTTACAACTCTTGTAAATTACAATTCTTTACTTATCAAAGAATATATAAGAATCATGATTTAGCGATGAGATAGTATTCATGTAAATGTAAGTATTAGCAAATATTGTTAATAGGGACAACGAATATTCAGCCTTTATTCAGCATTCAGCCTATTTGTGGAATATTCAGCCAAATATTCAGCTAAGTATTTTTAGACAGTTTATTTTCTTTCTTTTTATGGAATTTGAAATGATTTAACAAAGAGTAAACTAAATTGTAATTTTTACAATAGATTATTATTATTAGAATTATCAATGTTTAGATCAAAAATAACTAAACACAAAAATAACAATAGTTATCAATAATATACCTTAAAGCAGTGGTGCGAAAACTTTTTTCGACTGCGACCCCTTTTGTAGAGAGAAAATTTTTGGCGACCCCTAGAGATAAATGTTCACAAATACGATGTATATTTCGCGCATTTCTTTTGTTGCATCGAATGAGAACATCATCATATTTGACTCATATTAATTTTATTTATAATTTTAAGAAAATACTTTTTGTATAACACAAAAATCAGTAATTGCCCTTTAATGAGATGTATGTGGCTACAAGTATCTAATTATCTCATCGATGTTTGAATGTATGTTGTTAATTACAATTCGCATATCATCTTCAGGGTTTAAACGCGAGCGGTATTTAGTTTTTATTGAAACTAGTTTGCTAAATCCAGTTTCACATAAATACATTGATGCAAATTGTATTAACACTCTGATAGCATTCTTGCATAAAACGGGATATTGTTTTTCCTCGGATAGCCAGATAGAGTATACATTACGCATTACGGTCAAAGAAAGAGTGGACAGCATGAAATTGCAATTAAACAGTGAGTGACAGCGCTTCACTCTTTATATGTACACAGTATAGTATGCAGCATACAGGGATAATGCATTTCATAAAAATTTGGCAACCCCCAGTTTGCGCACCACTGCCTTAAAGCATAAATAATACCATATTTTTGGAAAAAAAAGCAGTAAATAGTTTCAATAATTTTAGCAATATTCTTTATACATGATGTAAAATACCAATTGTAAGTATACTAGTACTATTAATGAAATCCTAGCGCATGATTTAAACAGTTATGTAGCTTGGTATTCATTAAAATATTCCCAAAGACAAAAAAGAAGCTTGCTACAGTTTTTGCTTTTAACAGTTTTTGCCCAATTTCAACAGTTTATAGCACTTTTTGACAGTTTCTACCATCAAAAACCCAATCCTGCATAGCTTACCTGACTCAGATAAAAAAAAAATTTAAAAAATCATTATAATCAAATTGCTGATAGGAAAATTTATGAAATATTTAAATTTCTTACAGTGAAATAAATGAGCAATTATAAAAAACATAAAACAGATTATAAAAAGAAAAAAAAATTCTTTAAATACAAATTAAAAAATACATTTCACAAGACTTTTTTAAATCGAAAATTTTTTATTGTTATGGTTTTTAAATTATTTTAGGCACTCACAAATTGTGATTTGATGCCAACATTAGAACAACACTTGTAAAGTGGCACAGATATTTGAAGCTGTGTTCACATGTGTTATATATAAAAATAAAAAAAATTCTCAATTCAGTTTTGTGACAGTTTTAGTACACACATAATATTTTTATACCCGTGGCAGAATTTTTTCGAACTTTCTGCGACACATCTCTTTAATGCTAATACCTTTCAGTAAGATAATTAAAAGTAACAAATATACACATTGGTAATTTAAAGTAAGAGAAGCATTAACTTATAAATAAATAATTAAAAATTGGATCAAATAAATTATTTTTTTAAATTTATTCTAATATTATGGGAGATATTCTCACATTTTGTAGGAAGATAACACAGTAATTATTTCCTTTTTTGCATTTTGTAACTTATCAACACATTAAAAAAATATTTTCAAAAATTCTTGAAATCTGTAGCAGTAACTACCGAAAAAAAAGAGATAGATGGCAAAATCATGCTAATCGGACTCTTCAAAAGGGGTACTAAATTGGTGTTTTCATTTCGAGATTCAATTGTTGTATTAAATAATATCGTATTAAAAATATCAGATTTTAAAAGCTGTGTGGAAATCAGCAGTAATAACTGCATGAAAAAATAGAACGAAAATTTCCACAGAAAAGAAAACCAAATTTTTTACTTCATTATTCTTTATTTTTTATTATTCTCACATGTGAATAGAAAAATCATAAGCATTTATTTCTCCCACCACGATGTGCGAGAAAGGTATCTTGATTATAATTCTGAAGAAAAGATAAAATCTTTCAAAAATTTCTGCAGGAAAGAAAAGCTTAATTTTTTATTTCCCAAAAGAAAAATTTTGCTGCAAAAGCTCTGCGACAATGTCCCCACTGGGACTTTTATTTTATTCAATTGTGTTCAATATTTTAAGTTAAATTGCAAATTTATTTCACTATCAAAAAACATAGGTATTTTCATAAAATGTTTCGTTAATTATCCAAGCCTAGTTCAATAAGCACACCTTAAAAGATTTGTTACTGAACTAACATGTGTAATCTTCTCCCTTTCTTAATTGTGTAATTACTTTATAGATCAATAGGTTTCACCATTAAAATTTTTATAAAAATATTTTCCTGCAACTGATCCAAGACAACTTTCTTATTTGTTTGTGTTACTTTTGTGAAAATTTAGTAAGCTCAAATATAAAATTAATAGAGAAATTAAAGCCTTTTTTAAGACTTTATAAAGAGTATAAGAAAATCAATTATTGTTAAAATCATTTAATTTTTATCAGTAAGCATACAATAAATTCAAACTTATTTGAAGATGTTAAAGTAACACACACTTATATATAAACCACAAGCCTTTTTTAAGACTTTATAAAGAGTATAAGAAAATCAATTATTGTTAAAATCATTTAATTTTTATCAACTTATTTGAAGATGTTAAAGTAACACACACTTATATATAAACCACAATAAATTATATTTCTGTTCTAATATCAATTCATACTACTCACCAGTTTTTGGCAACTCTTTACGGCCAATTAGATCCCAATTAGTACCGCCACAAAATAACAGTGTCCCAGATGCTTCAGGACCAGCTAAGTGCTATAAATAAAATACAAAATAAATAGGGGTAAAAATTTTTTAAAAAAATTACTGGTCCATAGGACCAGTAACTAAAACATTTTACTAGTCCGCACAAAACTTTACTGGTCTGTCTACACGTTCCTATTAGCTGCAAATAAAAAAATTAAAATTTTTGATTGAAAAAATCATGTTCCTTTTTATAAAATCATAAATTTGATTTAAATCGCATTTTTTTGATTAATATTAACTTTGTACAAAAATTTTTTTAAAAAAAATTGTGAATAAGCTCTAAAATAGTTTTAAGTAAGATCGTTTAAGTTTCGTAAGATCGAGAATAGATCGGCTGTGAGATTAGATTAACGGAGATCGGCTGCGGTGGATGGTGGTCCGGCGGACCACTGTTTATTATTTTATGCTGGTCCGACTCCGATTTTAGTGGTCACGGACCAACGGACCACCGTTAATTTCGAGCCCTGCAATATACAGAATAAACATACAAAAAAAATATACATAGTAAAAAAAAACTCATGGGTTTTATTTGATAAAATAGAATAATTTATTGTTGAAGTATAAAAATATATAAATTAAAAAATAGATAAAATTGCACAAAAACAAGGGATTTAAATGAAAATTTATGTAGCCTTGGAAAAATAAATGTCAAATTGTTTTATACAGGAGTTGCTTGCATTAAAAAATATTCATTTCAAAAACTTAAATTGAAAAAAAAAAATGTAGAACAGAAATCATTTTGGCTAGATATACTAAATATCTGGTTAGAATTTTAGACTATTATTGACTAATTTCTTGACAGGTTTTTTTAATTTTATGATTTAATTAGTGATTGGTACAATAGTAAATTTAAACTACTATAATAGTAAATGTAGATAACATGGAAGATATTAACAAATCAGTTCCTCAAAAATAGTAAGATAAATGTTTCACAACAGTTATTGAAAGAAAGAAATCATTAAACATACAGTGGGTTCTCAAAATCACATGGAATAATGTTGGAATAACAGCAAAAAAACACCTAGATTTATGATCAAATGGATACAAATATAGCACAACAAAAAATGATTATCTAAATGTGTGCTTTGACACGTGCGGGTCAAAACATTGTAATAAATGTGTCAGATTTTACAAACCACAGTACGAGTTTTAATATTAAGAAGTACTGAAAAACTGGTCAGAATGTCAGTTCGATATAAGATGATAAAAATAAAGTGAGACAAAAAATTATTATACTTAAATTTGGAATTTTCCTATCATAATATTACATTAAAATAATTTGATAAAACCATGTGGAATTCCATAGCAATGACTGTAAAAAAAACACATGATTTACGATAGAATCTGCACCTATTGAGCACGTCTAAAAGTGATTACTTAAATGTGATTCCAAATTTTCCATATTTTCAAGAGGATATTGGATATTTTAGAGGTGAGAACATTAAAAAAAATTCACCCAAATATTGTTCATGCTTAGTTCATTATGGTAATAGGTAATGAAAGTCAAAATTTTTATCTTTTTTAAAAATAAAAAAAATTCTTATTCAAATAAAATATTTTGGATTTAAATTAAATGTTTTAAAAGTAACTTGAAGAATTTCTATTTAAAATTACTTTATTTTTATAAATATATTATCAAAGTTCTCCTAAGGAATAAAGAAGAGCAGGGTGCTTCCTCCCAGAAAAGGGCAGTTTGAGCTTCAAATTGGCACTCACTTACCACTGTCAAAATTTATCAAAATGTCTAATATTACATAATAGCTAAATTTGCCCCTCAAATTTTTCAATTAGCCTTTTATACTATTTTATGTGTATACTTCAAAGTAATTCCCACGCATTATCAAAATAACAGAAAAATTTAAAGCTTCTGAAAAACAATAAAAAACAAACTAAAAGACAATCTGCGTAAAAAAAATTCTTCAAAATAAGTAAATTAAAAAAGGTGACTAACTGATAAACAACTTGAAAATCGTTTTGTATATTTTAAACTGAAAATAATGAGAAAATAAACATTCAAAAGTACATTTTTAAATAATAGATAATGGAAAAATTTAAATCACTAAATAATTCATTATAATACCCCTTCAAAAAAAAAAAAAGGAACTAACAAAATTTTAACCAGTTCAGAATAATCCTAAGATATTAAATATTAGTAATAATAATCAGAACCAATTTACTTTTTTTGAAATATTGATTTAATTAAATTAATTTTTCCAGCGTTTAATTATTATCTAAAAATCGAAATGAATTATATAAACATAAAAAAATCACATAATTCACCTAGGTGGTAAGAGTACATATTAATACTTAACATTAATAAATAACATTTTAATAAATAACATTTTACTTAACATAATAATTACATTAATAAATAGCATTTTATATAAAAATAAGGAAAGAATAATTTAAAAGAGTATATATAAAGGGAAAATTTCAACTTTTTTTATTATATTAAATTTTATGAGTTTAAATTTAAGCTAATGCTTATTTACTAATCAATTGTACTGTCATTTTTAGACTTTAAATATTTTTTGTTCTCTTCAGTCTAGACAAAATATATATACTTTTTCCTAAAGAAATCTCAACTCTGGTTATCAACCTGATCTAATAGTACAATATCAGCAAAAAAATCCAAGTTATCGAAAGAAAAATCTAGTGGTAATATAATTAAGTAACTAGAGAACTGTGTAACTACACAAATAGTACTATATATAACTAGCCAACATAAGAAAAATCTTACTAAAATGAAGGAATGAAATTAAAAATTAAAGTTATATAATTATCAATACCTATAATCAGATGTAAACTTTTCATTAAAACAGGTGGTTAAGAAAATCTTTTCTTAAAAAAAAATAATAAGCATTGTTTTTAAAGAATGGTAATTTATTTTCACAAATTGGGCAAGGAGGGCACTATTATAAGCATCAAAGGGCAAGCTGCTCTTCTAAACATGCTTAGGAGGAATAATATTATTATAAATAAATCACAAAATTCTTACTGTATAAGAAATTGTCTGACATAGTAATATATAATGCTTACAAATAAATTATTCAATTTTATTGGAGGTGGAATAAAATCATAATATTATTAACATTTGAAAAGCAGGCCAAACAAATAACATAAGTAATATTAAATAATACAAATTTTAAATTTTATTTCATAAGTGCAGTAATTTAAAACACACTAAGTGAAAATATAATTTTGCTTATTGTAAATTATTAACATGGCAATACTATGACAAATTTGATTAAAACAAAAAATTTGGATTTAAAATAATGAACCAGCCATTGATACTACTTCAGCAATAGATACTTAATAAGCAAACATATGCACTGTGGTACTAACAGGGTTTTCAGGATCCTTGACAGCAATAAATAATGGTTTAAATTTGGAAAATTTTTTTAATTTCTGAAATTTTCAACAAAATATTCATTCTGCAAATCTGTATAAAAATTTCTTCAAGTCAAATTAAATAATACAATTCTTGAAAGCTTCACAAGAAAATGAAAAGTAATGGTCAATTTAAAAATCAGCAACAAATAGAAACAAGTGATTTAACCATTAGAAAACCACCCCACAACACAGAATATTTTTATACCTGAAATAAAAATTTAACTATTTCCAACTTTTAAAATATGTATAAATAAATGTTCGCTACGTTCTATATTAGACAGAATTTTCATCAAAAAATAATCCTTTGATCTTTGAATCGTTTGTATCTTTTTTGGTCAACATAAGAGTTTTAAGAATTTAATCAGTTAATTTTTAAGATTTAATGTAGTAAATAAGGAATATCGAACCTTAAATATGAATGTTTTACATACTTTCTAATTACTGTTCAATAATTCGCTTATGTTAGGTTTAAAAAACGAAAAAATTTGGAAGGGGTATAAACAGGACAATTTCATTCAAAAAAAAATTAAATAGAGGACTATTAAAAACATTGTTTTATTTGAATTTATAAATTATATTAAGTATTTGATAACGTAAAATTGCATGTCAGTCATAAAAATGTTAAAAATATAAACATATTATGCAGTGCTTATTTTTTAATATAGCGAGAACACAACATATCTCATTTTAAGAGAAACGTAATTTACGACTAACATTGACGATCATCAAAAAATAATATGTTTAGCTTTAAAATATAAATTTTTCATTGAACCAATCTCAATAGGAAATATCAGTAAACATTAGCACGTGGTGACTTACAATATTCTTTTTCTCTGGTTGATCACTCGATAAATTAGCACAGTTATTAGATTCTTTATCGGAACATTTGCCATCGCTTGTCCCGGGCTCTTCTTTTGAACCGCCATTGTCCGATTTTTGTTGATCCGTTAAATTTCCACATTCACCGCTTCCGCAATTTGAAACATCCAAACTTTCATTTTTTCCATCTTCTTTTAAAAATTCAGTTTTATTTTCGCAGCTGTCATCTTCATCATCGGCTTTTCGCTTTTTTGGGTTCATTGTTTAAGAATGCTTTGTAATCTACTAGCAGAAACAAAACGAAACAACTATATTGACAATCAATACTGTAAACAGTAATACAACTAGCGATGCACATTTAACACTGCCTTTAAAATGTGAAGGATTGATTTGATATAAATGCCGCCAATTGAAATAGGTCTCGTAGAAAACGAGAAGACGCGTTGAAAAAATGCGAAAAGATGAAAAGAGGTGGATTGGAATGGGGGAGAGAGGTGGGTGTACTTCTTTAATGGTATATTTTGACTGGTGGAGTGTGCGCGGCACTTGAGGTACCGGAGGAGAACTGCAAAGAATTAAAAGGTGTACAAATTTTTGAACTTCTTAAGTATTACGTGCATCTAAACTACGAGATATCATCAGAAAATGTCATAATCACATTGTAATCATTATCTTAATGCTGTTGGGTCGGTAATCTCGTCATACTGAGGTAGTAAGACATTGATAAAAATAAGAAGCACTACCGAACAACTCTACTTACACTTCAGCCGGGGATTCCCCGTAATATGTAAATACTATTTTAGTGAGACTCGTTTTATGCTCGTTATTTTCTATGACTTCATTATCAGGTTCAGGTAAATGCTTAAGATTTCAATTTGATTTACTATTATCTTCTGCATCTGATCTCTCCAAATATCTATTTAATTTACGTAGCACTAGAGCTGCACGATGGGCTATTGGCGACTGTCTGGGAAACACCCCTGAAGATGATCCGAAGATATGCCATCACAATTTTGATCCTCTGCAGAGGGGATTGCACCCCCGCTTCGGTAGCCCGATGACCTGCACGCGAAGTCGAGCACTTTACGGTAGAACAGTTTAACGAGGACCAATACCGCACACCCTCGGTCCCTACGCAGACTGATCCAAGTGGTCACCCACCCGCACACTGACC